TATTCTAGATATACCCTGTACTGTATTCTAGATATACCCAGCATTGTATTCTAGATATACCCTGCATTGTATTCTAGATATACCCTGCATTGTATTCTAGATATCCCCCTGCATTGTATTCTAGATGTACCCTTCACTGTATTCTAGATATACCCAGCATTGTATTCTAGATGTACCCAGAACTGTATTCTAGATATCCCCTGCACTGTTTTTTATTTATAGGTCTACCATCTGTATTCAGTCATACCCTGTACTATATTCTAAACCGTGTTGTATTCATTCTAGATATACCATGTAATGTATTCAAAATATACCCTGTACTGTATTGATATATACCTTGTAATGTATGCAGATATACCCTATACTGTACTTTATTTAGCCTGTACTGTATTCTGGATATACCCCTTATGACTAAGTGCTGGCATCATAATTGTTTATTTCAGATGGTGTTGTATACAGTGTGTAAATTAAACATTTTTCTTGAAAAACTTGATTTCGTTTATTGAACTTTATTTATCTACCACATTATGAACACCTAAGACCACATGCCTGTGACACTCATGATCATCTCTGCAGAAACATCATTTCCTCGATATCATTATGTTAATCTGCGAATTTGAAGTGTGGAGTTTCCAGGGATAAAAGTTGAATTACCAATATTTATTCATGAAATGCTATATTTTAACAGGGCTGCATCTTGTATTGTTGATGGCAATACAGAATATACATTCAGCAGTTTCAAAAATGTTCATGTATTTTCACAAACAGCGCCACCTAAAGTTGACATTAGAATTGCAGTCACTCTTTGCGAAAATGCATTGACCTCCTTTATTTTAGCTGAAATTCATTTCGCTGAAAAGAAATTTTGACTGTAAAATACAAACAAAATTATTTTTGCTGGATTTTATTTTCAAAGTAATTTACAGTACATGTGTATGCATCAAAATTTGCCTTCCATTGCATACATTGTACTTGCAACATTTTACCAGTCTCAATGCAATAAAAAAAAAAAATATTGAGCCAAACATTTCAGTACTCTCACAGATAGAAAATTATTAATTCAGGTACAGTCAAACCTGTCTATAAAGGACAGTCAGTGGACTGAGCCAAACTGTCCTTTATAGACAGGTGGTCTTTATATGGAGGTGGCCTAATTTATTCATTTAATCATGAATATTAATTAGGGTGGGAATTTTAAGGGAGATCATCAGCAAAACAAATCTACAATGAATTGGTCTTTTTAATAAGTCACTCATTTTCATCTGGATAATTACACAGCTTTACTTTTTTACTACAAATTATATCATGTAAATTCACTGAAACCAAGTGATTCTGCCCATGGATTCATTGGTGTATTTAATGCATAAGAACGATTGTCAACGATCGGCCGCATTGGTGTTTCAGCTCGGACTTTCACACTCTTGCCATGCAGTCTTATTCCCCAACCCATCACAGGCGGTAATCAGTCCCATCGTTAGTATTGTCGATTGTACACTGTGACAAAATGCACAGGCAAAGTTGCCGTGTTTGAAAAAACAAACAAACAAGCATTAAAAATGAAGAAGCATTGGTAATAAACAAAATTTACCAAACTCGTAACGATTGCTCCAACTCTCGGCGTTGAATCAGAAAGTCAAACGAACCGGAAATGAAACACAATGATCCTGTATTTTGGTGCCAGTGTACGAGTATAATTTTCGAATGGATTTAGGATAAAAAAAAAATTTCCCATTTTGAAATAAGTTGTATTCTCTACTTGCATCATGTGTGCACAAATTAGTTCTTAAAACATTTTGCTTACTAGTAAATACAGACAAAGACACTAGTAAATCCCAATCAATGCTGACAAAGCAAGAATGTTTGATGAAAACTGTCCACCTGAAATACACCACCATGCTTAGAAACTAGGCACGAGGCAAAGAGTGGCATAATAGTCAATTTGAACTCTGAGATGAACTTTTATAGAGGTATTTGGGCTGTGTAACCTGCAGAATGTATGAAGTGAGTCTTTTTTCATATTGGCATATGTGAATTCACCACGCATATTATGTAAAAACATTAACCAACTATTAAAACACAAAGGCAAAATGATCACCAATCATTTTTAATATATTTTCATAAAATATATCACATAATAAATTAATAAAAACCTAAAAGAACCTTTTTTATAGTGCTACTTGAAACCGACATGAAATGTGTTTTATTTTGAAATCTTCAAATGGATTTTGTGATTATAAGTACTAGTATAAAATAAAAATCCTTCTTTACTTAAAATACCATGTGTTGTCCGAAAACAAAGTAAAAATGTCACTGGCGTTGAGGTTATACTCAATTAAAAATAATGGGGGAGCTAGCCTCCTTCCATTTGTTCCTTCATTAATAGAATTATCTTTATGAAATACAATTATTTTATAATCAATGTTGATCATTAGGCATATAAATAAGTTAAAATATTTAAAAACATGGCTGGATTTGTACATCATCTAATCCAGTCAATTCTTGTAAAATTTTAAAACTACAAAAATATAAGTTAAGGTACAATGACAAGATATTTAAACATAGAAAAAATATTACACAACTATTATGTACTCGGTTGACCATAACTTTTAAGTTTTCTACATCTACACAATGTGTCATGTGTGTGTTTTACAACTCTAAGGTGAGTTTGTTGGACAAAAATATATACATGTATATATATGGCAAAACAGGGCATTGTAAATACAAAGCATACACACTATTGCACTAAGTTTTTATCACTGGTGAGATTATCTTTACTGATTTATTTATTATGTAAGAGGTTATCACAAGAATATGGACAAAAGCAGTATGTTTTACAGAGGTTGATGCAAATCCTATACTGCATTAGTTTGTGGTTATTTTCGCAATAACATTTTCGTTATACACCTTCTTCAGGTTTGCATAAATAATTTTGCCCTTTGTGAAAATTTGTGTTCAGTTATAAGGTTCTATTCATGCCACAATGAAGCACTTCTGTGTCCAATGAATGGTGACTGAGTTTACCCCATACAAGAGAAAATTTGAACAATTAAATGAGTGCTGATATGTTTTCAGTGCTTACTGACAGTTATTGATCAAAATACCACATTTATCCTGGATTCCATTAAAAACCTGAAGTTCTCCAAAATATTAAGTGGGTGCTTACCCGACCATTTCTTTTACATATACTGGTAGCTGCGCCAAATTACAGATGATGCTAACTTAATGTTATGTTGCAGACCAGAATATTTAACTATGCAAAATTAATAAAAAACATACACAGCAATCTTATACCACCAGTGCATGTTTTTTTACACGCATTGTATACATCGCATGGGACCCATATCAAACACTACAAATTACGATGACTGGCGCTTTGATATTTAAGATTAACAAGCAGCCTCTTGGCTAAGATAGCTCCGCTGTCTGCAAGATATCATCATAAAATGAACAACGCTGAGAGTGGCCCACCTGTAGTACCTTAATGTATAATATCAAATCAATCAGACTTGTGGTTTTTAAAGTCTTTTTAAGAAAAGTCAAAAATGTACCTTTTTGCCAAAAATATTCATCAAAATTAGAGAATAAGATAATAAGATATTATTATGAAATGAACAAATCTGAGAGAGGTCTACCTGAGGTACCTATATGTTATAATATCAAAGCAATCGGATTAGCAGTTTCCAATAAGAAGTCAAAAATATCACTTTTTACCAAAAATGACCAAAATATTCACAAAAATTAAAGATATCATCACAACATGAACAAATCTAAAAAAGTCTAACCAATGTAAATATACACCAAGTATCAAAGCAATCAAGCTTGGAGTTTTCAAGAAGAAGTCAAAAAAGTAAAAAGTTGACACTGACAACGACGGACAGTCACTCATATGATAAGCCCTGTTCAACAAAGTCAACATCAGAGCTAAAAATGTCATGATTTTAAAATAAATCACTAGTCTAAGATTTATCAACTTGATATATAGAAAAATTGACATGTAGGGTTACCCCATGCACAAAATCACCATATTTACTGAATAAATACAAATCTGTATCAAAATTGTAGGGAGACAGTTGTGTGGGCGAGATGGACATGGACAAATACGGTATATATAGGGAGGAAACTATGAACAATAAATGATTTACTTTGAGATTTCGCATAATGTGTGAAAGGCGTGGACTGAACGCTTGTATGACACTGGCAAATTCTTATCAAAACTGTTATCAAAATCTAAAAGGTACATCATTATAATTTCGAAAATGTTCAACTTGTCAAATTAACACATTGCCTTCTGAAAGTCTCCATGATAGCCAGAATAAATGAGAAACTGTGTTTGTAGACGATGTGTTAACTTTCAAGTGAAAATATAGACTATCAACAGTTGTCTTGACTACAAAAGGCTATGTCATTTCTACACGAGCGCATAGATATTAATTGAGTACCGAAGGTATGATGTATGAGTGCCATAGACTGGAGCTGCTGTTATCACTTGCAAACGCCCTCACACTACCATATGAAAACAGACATGCAGGCGGGTCATTTATCTGACGTAGTTAAACCGAGCATCAATATGGCATGCTGGGAATTAGTGAGGTATATGAGTCAGTGCAGCAAAGGTATTAAAGAAAGGTTAATTGTTGCCAGGTGATCAGACTATTTAAAAAAAATATATATACAAATTAACAAAACATCACACATTTGCAGGCCCATAGGCAAACAAGTTTGATGATGTGCGGATCTTTCTCATTACTGAAGGACCGTCCTTTATGCAAATCAACTTCAGGTTGAAGAGGATGAGACAAATGCATATTCAAAAGCGAATGTTTGTTCCCGATGATCTCTTAGCTCCACACTCTCCACAGAACTTAGCTGTAGATTTTGCATAATCTGTACCGCAGTACTGACAAGTAGTTGTTAGATGTGTTGCTTTACCATTCTTTGTCATAGGTGGAAACCTACAAAGGACACATAGGTAGAATTGTTATTAATCACTGTGCCATCAACATATACACTGTAAAAATAAAAGTTGCAAAGGGGGGGGGGGTAGCAGTGAATCTTAATTTTACCTAAAATGACAACAACTTAAGTCGGAAAACACAAATCAGTTTTGGGTCAGTGTGTGCACCACCAAAAAAAAATTTGACCAGATCTATTTTTTATATTTATTTCTGTTGACAATTAAACCTGAAATGATTTTTTGTTGTTGGAGAGATTTTAGTATTTTGAGTAGACAAATTTAATTGCTTAAAAGGTGAAAAACATTGTCTACTAGCCCTATACATGTATAATAAGCTTGGTTTCTGTGGTATCTCAATTCAATCATCTCATATACACAGACAAATTTATGATTGACTATCAATAGGAAGCGATGAGTACAGTTGAATTTATGTATGCTATAGACAGGTCAATGACATTATAAATAGTAGCTAGTAATGTATCATTTGTATGTCAATAGTTAATTAATTTACATAGAGTATCATGTACAAGCAATGTACATATACCTTATATAAATCTAGCACTTAGCAACTGCCATTATCTATCTGTTAAAGTCCTTCACAGCATTTAAGTGAATAGTAGTTTTAAAAGTGTTTGTACACAAACATTTCATTAGGATGTACGTCATCATTTTTTTTTACTTCTATGCATTACAAAATATACTTTTATTAAATTATAGTAATTTTCATAGAAATTCATATTGAAGCATAATTTCACTAAAAATAAATATTCTTCATCATAATTTACTAATTTTTGTTTCTTACGTTTATTGATAACCATAAGTAACCATCTTATTTTTTTCAGCAATTTTTTTATGGATGTTTTTTGTGCGAAAATTTGTTTGGTGACCCTATATTTTTATCTGGGTTTTGTAACAACAGCATGAAATAAAATCATATATTTTAATTGGACTGCAAATGAATAAATATGATTCAAGATGTTAAAGAAGTTAATTTCAAACAAAAAAAGAATACAGAATTACTCAAAGTTGTAGTTTTATTTCTCATCAATGAGAGGAAGCATCAAGATGAATTGATGGTAAATGTGACACTTCCTGCCAGGTGTTTAAATTAGGTATATAATTATTATCAAACAGATTAGAAAAAATGAGTTTTTTTTTGTTGTTGATCATGATTAATGTTAACAAATGACAATAGGAGAGGTCAACAATGTGTATAGGAATGATTCTTAGAGAAAAACTACACAAGTTTGAAATTAAGTAATGTTTAGTATTTTCACATAAATCTTACAACACCAAAATTTGAACACATTTTCATATATGTGCTTCATTGAGTGATACCATGCGACCAAGTTGAAATAACACACAATAAGAATAATTAACTATCTGTAAGTATCGGTAAGTATCGCAGAGAGCCATTATAATTACTTTTAATTTAAGACGAGCTATGATTAAGCATATTCATTCTAATTCAATTTTACATTTATTTAATATCATCTAAAACCTACAGTTATGTAAATGAACTCAAAATAGTGAATATCATCACTTTAAACATTTTTGTTGAATATTCATGATTTAATAGTTAATGGACTATATTTTGTGTTTACCTTACACCTGGATTCTCCGCTGGTTTGGGCCTCTGTCTTCCAGTGAATCCTGACAATAAATACAGTACCGGTAAAAAGGGAATAAAAGCAACCAAATAATCACTATCTACTATAGATATCTACTGTATCTACATGTTTTATGGTACTCTTAGAAAATACAGTTCTATCAACCCATTGTGTCAGTGACTAGAAACAAGTCTTAAATTGGTCAACACTTGTACGCTCATCGCCTGATTCACACTGTTCCACTGAATTTGACCATCCATGGCCGGCATTACGAACCTGTGCATAATTGTGTTAGAATTTGACCTCAGTTAAATTTAATGATTTGATTGGGCATGCAGCAAAGGTGGATCCATCACACAGCGTTCTTGTAACGACAACTTGCATCAATTTCAAATTTGAACCAATAGATTTTGCAGTCCTATATCACATTGTGGCTTAACTAACATAAACACATGCCCTCACGTTTGATTTCCCATGGAAATGCATCACAACACTTGACTTCGTGTTTCATTTAGCTAGGAAACGCACAAGAGCATGTGCTGCTGTGTTTGATTTTGTCAAGATTAAATACAGGTTTATAGTGGGAATTCTGCCAAGGTATAACGATAAGGTGATTGCCAAATAAATGAACCTTGGCTGGCAAAGATGTTGTACACTGTACATGATTATTTTATTTACAAGCACTGACAAACAAAAGGAAACAAAATTCCAGGCCACCATATCAGAGTAACTGACAAGTGCAGCCTAATAGCAGATTCAAACTAAAATACTTTATCTAGCTGAAATTAATTTCCGCTGAAAAGACATTTTGGCTCTTTTGTATAAAATTTATTTTCACTGATTGTTGATTAGTTAAATATAAAATTTTTGCTGCATTTTCTTTCACTGATTCATGCCTTCAACAAAAATAGCAATTGCAAGTGAAGATCCCCTTACAGTAATTTTAATATTCATCTAGTTGAGTATAACAATACATCAATCTAATTAGAGGAGGGTCATAAAACTTGTTCTAGCCACACACAAAAACGCAGATTCAGAATAGCCCCCATTTTAGGCGTGATCCATTCCTGTCTTGCTCAATTTTAAACCTATTTGACACAGAAAATGCATATTAAACTTATTAATGTCAATAACTTTTTTAATAATTTCTCATAATTATTTTACTAAATTTATAATGGTCATAATTCCTTATAAGAAGCAAACCTGTTTACCTTTGTACTGTCTAGGTGATGGAAAAGGTGCATCATTTGTAACATTGGAAGGCGGTGGGTGATATACATACTCATCTTCCTCATCACAATTACCTGAGTTAGGAAATCCAGAATCTGGAAACTGAAATCAGAGGATAAATTGAAAACATACTGTTTAAATTTGCCATGATTTGATCTAGCATGGGCAGGTTTAGTGAGATCACACAGCACAATGACCTGCAATGCCAATTGAGCTTTGCAAACAGTACACAAATCTGCCAACTAATACTGTAACATCCAGGTTACGCCAAAGATAGAAATTCAGAAAACTGATTATATACAAGTAATTATTATATAAAAGTTCATTGCTAGAATAATTTACATTCAATCAGATCAAAGCTTAGTGAGGGGCATTTGAGAAAGTGAGAGCATGGAGACATAGTGGATTGTATAAATATGATTTAACATGCTTTGCCATGGCGAGAAAGTTTCAATTCACAAGACTCAAAATCACAAAACTTACAGACTGACTCGAACCTTTGCTCTTTCCATGTTTCTGAACACAGAAGCGTTCATGCTTTTTGTAAGCATCATGACTGAAATGCAGACCACAGTTTTCACATTCTGTGACTACTAACAAAAAAAGATATTTATATTCGTTAACCATTTTTAATTGGTGACAGGTCACCTCAACTCAACTGCATTTATACTACACTACATGTCGGTTGTTACACAATGCGTTATTTGCTCAATGTTTTTTTATTGAATACTAATATTTAAACAGGAATGCCACATTCTGACCAGGTTTGCTTTGTCACTGGGTATTAAACAACGATGTACATTGTATGAGCTTACAAAAACGTTCTGAAAAAAATACTACTAGCTTACATCACAGATACATAGCTTTAATTTAGAGCTGATATAGTATTTGGGATTAAACAGTTAATAAATGACAGTATTCAACATGCAGCACAGATTAGCAGACCTTGACATGGTTACTTTACTGACACACACTGACCAGTATTGTTCAAGCTCATATGTGATGACAGTGATGCAGATGGATTCGTTATACGTCCAAATGGTGGCCATTTAAAACAAACCTGGAGCTTTTATTTATATTTTTAAATCCTGTACAGGCAAAATGTTCTCAGACATGCATTATTGTTATTGCTTCCATCAAAAGGCCCAGTTTCATTGATCATCATGGAATACAAATGAGGTTTAGATGTGAAAGGTATGTAGATATACAACACATACTTGAATCAAATGAGTCCATACTACCACTCCTTGAAGCTTTTTTGGACTGTCTGATTTTCCTTAGAGTGTCTTCATGTCTTTCTCTCCAATTTGAGGTATCCTAAAAACAATTCATTCAAACAAAGCATTATTAGAGCTTTAATCAGGGTCTTGGGACTGTTATGCCAAATATTTGATGGTCAGAATTGGAGGAGATTATGTAACAAACATTCAAATTACAATGCTTTTCAGTACGTCCAAAATTGTTTTGGTTTCCCCTTTGATTGTGTATTTGAATTCCTTTTACTAATATTTTTGAATAATGTTCCAATGCTCATGGATTCACAATGGTTTACTGTTCTGAATTACTACTGACCACAATGATTCAAAATAAGGCAGAATCCTCATTTTCCCCCCACAATGCATGCAAATTCTGACTATTTCAAAACCCCAGTATAGGTCTAAGAATGTGCTCAGAGTGCAACTATAAATTGAATAAATCAGCTTTAAAAAATTTTTTTCAAAAGGACCACAAATATAGGCACATATTCATATATCATTGGGCCTGTGTACAGTCTGTCTATAGATAATACTGGGGCCTGTTAACTCAAAAAAAAAATCAAAAATTAATTTATTTCAATGAACTATAACAACACATTGGTAGACAGATCAGCCATAGCACTCATCTACTGTAAAATGACTAATTTTCACTGGGTTTAAATTTTGCTAATTTACAATTTCAGGCATATTCAGTGGGTTTTAAATTCACGGTTTTATCATTTAGATATAATGTGTTCTATGCTAAATTTTTAGCACATATTCCAGTCAGCGAAATAGGCGAAAATAAAACCCAGTGAATAATTAATCCTTTTACAGTATATAATATGGGTAGCGATACATTGCTTGTGTATGACAAAAATGTCACTTAAAGTACCAGTATTTTACTTTTGTTGCTTTTGACAGAAATTTTGCATACTATAATGAAAAGAAAATGTCTGACTTACCCTTGGAGTGTCATCAGAAAAAGACATACTACTGAACCTATCACCAGTATCAAATGTCTGATCTGGTTTAGTATGAAGCCTTCTACAGGTTTCTTCATGAGCTCTCTAAAAATAAGATACAAGAGAAAAACCATAATAATTCACAATAGCAAAATCTTTTGACAGTAATAATTAACTGCCAATGTCATGGTACTAACTGTTTTCATCTTTCTTTAAAGCGAGAGGGTTGTCACCTGCGTACGTGCAAGAATTGAGTCCCAACCGACGATAACAACACATACTAAAAACGCAACAACCTATGATCATCTGATGCGAAACTGAAAAGCATTCTAGCACATGCAGCTACACGTATAGTACTTGTAAGTCGTATGAACAACCCCAATTTGTACACCGTGTTTGTGCATGGCAATAGACACACTTGTAAACCAAAAATTACATTTGTTGTACACTGAATCATTAAAATATGATTTATTAAAAAAAAATATGATTTATTTTGTGTGAAGAAACATCACTCAGTATTCTCCCAGGTATATTTCCGAGTCCAAGCATGGTGCCTAATTTGCATAATACTAGTATATAATTTGAATATGCATTTTGTTAAAATAAAAACAGTATTCAAGAACTTGTATCGTTTTCTTTCAAGGTAACACATGTTATTTCAAAGTCCAAGCATGATATAACACTAGAAAACGCTAGAAATTTGGAAATCAAGAAAACAATAATATCTCATTTGTTCTTTTATAGAATTTATGCTCATTACAGTAGTGTTTCTATGCACAAAATAAACCATATTTTAACAATTCAGTATATAACACATAGTTTTGGGTTTATATGCGTGTCTATTGCTATTGCTTAACTTAGAAACACATTAAATGTGGCTGCATGTATTCTTTGCAGTGTTCTTCCCAGGAAATAATATCATATTGGCAACTTTTTCATGCAGGGATTGAAATAGAATTTTTTCCCTGCATGCATAGTGTGCATGTTGAATTTGAAATTCACCTGCACTAACTTGTTGTGAAATGCACCATTTTTAAAGTTTAAATAAAATTTACGGGTTCTCGATTGATGCAATCACGAAAGAATTTGATTTTTTTTAGTTGTCTCACAATGTTGGTTGAACTTAATTTAGGCTTAGTGAATATAATGAGAAAATGTTGTGTTAATTTCTACATGCACAGCATATTTTGAGTTTACTTGCACGAGCTATAATAATCTATGTGCATAGTGCAGTGTGCACCAGGGTATTTCGATCCCTGTCATGGCAATATAAATAATTGATAATTGCCTCTATTGTATTCATTGTTATGATAGTATTAAGCTCTACTGTTTATTTAAAATGAGAGATTGGATGGGCCCTATGCTGTAATGATGTGGGGAGAACCCTGCTTTGAACACCATAGTCTTTGTGCAGTGTATTCTCAAATTTCATGTAAACAAACAATGTTTACATGCACTGTACAAGTTGCATAGAACTCATTTTAAACAGTACATGATGGAATGATATATAATCTAACATTTAGCATATTACTTACAAGGTTAGAAAGTTCAAATAAGTGTCCACAGAATGCACAATTCAAAGGTGGAAATGGGTCATTAATATCTGCAAAAATAAAGTTAAATTTGCAACTTAGTAAAAGTTGTTTCAATAATACTAGTCACTGTACTAGTATGTAATATGAGTTTATATATAACACTGCCAACACCAGTGTTGATTATATCCCCTCAGACACCATTATTAAATGGGAAATGATCAATGATTCAACTTTCTGCAGTTGGTTTCCACCAAGTTGACGAGTCTGTGTGCAGGTATGGTATATGTTTTCTCCTAGATATGTCATTTGATATAGCAAATTGTTGAATTTTTTAATACTATAAATGTTCACAGTTTAGTGATACTCATGAGGACAAATTAACATTTTGTCTGAAAAATGTTCCCCAAAATTTCTGGATTTTTCCTGACTCGCAAATAAATAAATAAATAAATTAAAGTGATTTCAAAAAATCATGTGGTAGACATTCAGAGCATAAGTAGCTGACATCCATCTTTCAATGACAACCTTGATAGCGGCTAAAATTCGATATAATATTAAAATAGAAAGCAGCTATTCCCTCAAGAATTCAAAAGAAGATAGTTTAAGTACTGACAAAAATTATTTCTGGGACAGTGAAAATATGTTACCAAAGAAATCAAATGGTCCATCAGCTGGTTTCTGTGATTGTCTTCGCTGTCTGCTTTGTGGATTCCAAGAGAACATATCATCAAATGGATCTTTATATCTACGACCGTTCAGCGAATCACCCGGTTCGTCGTCCCAGGGGAAACCGTGCCGTTCAAAAAATTCTCTGAATGGTGAAAACGGGTCATCATAGAAAAATCTAAATGAAAAACTCGGTTTTGGTCCTGGACCTGGAATGTCAAAACCAAAGTCGTCCGAGTCCATTGGTCCCTGCCACGGTTTCTTTTTCCCGTTTCGTGATTTTCCATTAGTCCCAAACTGTGCATTTTTCGCTTTAGATTTTGATTTTGACTGCGAGGGTTTCCCTTTCTGTGATGCTTCTTCGGAGGGGAACGACGTGCGAGTGTTATTGTCCTGGTTCCCACTGCCACTAGTTGTACTACCGTTCCCGGTGGTATGACTGGATGACCATTTAAACTCCGATTTGAATGACGTATATGGTTTATACGTTTCCCGTGGTGTACTTTTGTTTTTTGTCTCCTGTTTTTGTGCGTTTTCTCTGACAAGCCTAGCTGTATCTTGTTGCAGATCATACACTCTCCTTTTCTCGGGATCTTTCAGAATTTCGTAAGAAGTCACAATTTCTTTAAATTTCTCTTCCGCGTTCGCCGCTTTGTTTTTATCCGGATGATACTGTTTTGCCAATTTGTGATAGGCCTTTTTAATTTCGCCTGCTGACGCGGCTTTCTGAAGTCCGAGCGTCTCATACAGACCAGTTCTCCCCATCCCGGACTGTCCAAAATACAGTTGGTACACACAGAACAACCACAAGGAGCTACATGGTTAAAGAAGCCAGGGAAACATTTCCGGTGAATACCAACTAACACTCCACGTAGTCCGCCATCTTGGCTTTGCGCTTCCATTGCTAAGTGCCCCAAAATGCATTGCGGCCGAGCTCACCGTGTCCATTAGTTCTTCGGTTATACAATTGATTGCGCAAACATAATTTACGAATATGTATGTATATCTAATTGCATTGATTTTCAGTGCGCTAGAATTTAATTTATTAACATTCATGAACACTGTTCTGACACGCATGTGTACACACATATTCGCCTCTCTACATGAACAGCCCTGAAATATTGTGCTAAATTCTTGCATATGTTGATCGGGGGCGGGCGGAGTATATTACTCCCATAGTTGTTAGTATACCGTGTGCATCGCCGTTTTTGACCACTGTAGCAATCTTTTTTTGGCGAAAAACACAAATTGTTGAACAGTGTGGTGCCCTCAACGTCGATCTTTTTGAGTAAGTTTTTAACTGGCTGCGGAGAACTTCCAGCCAAAATCCAGGTGAGTACCCCCACCATGATATTCGTTATTTCACGTTCTAATGCTATTAGTATTGATGGTTTAAATGAGGATATACATTACATAATTTGTACATTCT